TCATCCCTTGTGAATTTGCCATGGAACTTTCAGGCTTAAAGCAGCACTGGATTTATACTTTAAAGGCCAGAGTATATAATATAAAGCATTGTTAAATTGAGGGGTACAGCACTGGGCCCTGCACTGAGAGTTTGGAAATACAATGAACAGCTATCATCACTTTCAAGGATAGTTGGTTGCACTAAGAGCAGGTTCTGCTCAGGCACCAGTATTGATGGATACAGTGTTCCAAGCGCAAGAGAAAAGCAAAACAAAACAAAAAACAGGCTTTAGAAATAATATTTAAAGGAACACTATTCCCAAAAACAACTTTAGCTCAATAACGCAATGTGTATAGATCATGCCCTAGCAGTCCCACTGTTCAATTCTCTGCTATTTAGGAGTTAAATACCTTTTGTTTCTGTTTATGCAGCCCTAGCCACACCTCCCCTGTTGTAACTGACAGTCTGCATGAAAACAAAATAGCTTCATTTTCAAGCAGACATAACATCAATAAATCACACACGAGGCTCATGCAGGGTCCACCAAGCTATTAACAGAGCAGGTAATAAATTCTAAATTAAACAGAATTTGCAATAAAGTGTAAACATTACTCTTTACAGGAAGAGTTTAGGAAAGCTCTGCAAGTTGCATGCAGGGAGGTGTGGCTAGAGCAGCTTAAACAGTGATTTAAAGGGACACTATTGTCACCCAGACCACTTCAGCTCAATAAAGTGGTCTGGGTGAAATGTCCTTCAGATTTTAACCCTTCATATGCAAACATAATTTCAGAGAAACTGCTATGTTTACATGTCAGCCACTAGAGTCGCACCTGCGACGCTGGAGGCATATTATGCCTCAATCGCGCAGAGCATCCATAGAAAGACATTGAAAATCGCTTTCCTATTGAGAGCTTGAAAGTGCACCCTCGAAAATTGAGCAGTAAGACTGCAAGAGTTTGATCTCTACACAAAAGCTGCTTCTTTCAACTAAAGCTGCTTTGGTGACTATACTGTCCATTTAAGGTTTTCCCCCAGCAGTTGTATAGTGTGTATATTCTGAAATTGCACCCGGAACAGAACTGATTCACTTCGCATGCAGCCATGCACAAACAAACCAGAAACTAAGGCAAACAAACCATAAAACAAGAGAATACAGATATGGACAGCCTGCAATAGAAAGCACTTTCATTTTACAGATACAGATATTTTCTGTATACCAAGTACCCCACCCACTATTCACAGCCAAGAGAGACAAGTCTAATAATTACCAGAAAATAAATGATTTATATTGCCTTTACTGAGAAAGGATGCACAGCTTTCACACCCAAAGCAACACAAATCACATTATACAAATTACAGATTGTTAGGCCCAGACAGTAAACTCTGTTGCAGGATCCAGAGGGCGGATGTTAAAAAGAGGGGTTTCCTTGTGAAAAAAGCAGGAAGTGTAATCTATACATTGGGCTAGCAATTTTGGAAGCTCATGTGAGCACAGAGACTTGATATTTGAATGCCCTGCCCAATCATGGGGAACATATTAAATACACGTCGACAATCCACAGCCTGTGAAGAGACCGTAATACATACAGGGTTATTCACTGAAGTAAGAATTGTCAGGAATTCAAAGTAAATTTCTAATTTAAGAGTTAATTAGCTGAAGTGGAAGCAAGCCAGATATGTTTGTACTTTAGCTTCTCTGGCCTCAATATGGGAAATACACTTTAAAGTCCCAATTTAGTAAATAACCCAGATAAACCTTTGTAACCCCTTGCTTAAGATTCCCTGCTCTCCGTAGTATGAAAGGTTCGCCCTCACTGTTGTAACGAGTGAGCTGACTGACACACCGCAAATAGAAGCCTTAGTTCTTTAGCTATGCCTTCTGATGGCACCAAGCAGTATTGCTAATAAGACAGCGTATTTAATAACCACAAGAGGCTGCCTTTGGCCAGTATGATCCAATTCATTAAATTGAGTGTCATGCATCTGTTAAATTTTACAGCTCTACTGCAAATGCCTTTACAGCAGTTATAGCCTATGAGGGGACTTTGCGGAGATGCCAAAGACTGAAAGTACACAAACCCAGGACCTCACTTATACTATATTTGACAGGATTCTTATTGACATGCAGCCAAATGGCACTTTATTATTGAATCTAAGAGTGTCAACTACCCTGTAGTGCTGTTAATCATGGGTAATTCCATATCAAAGATTGCCATACATGTGTTTTACAACTGGTTAAAAACGAAGAAAAAAAAAAATATATATATACACACACATACATATATATATATATATATACACACATACATACATACATATATATAATTTTTTAATTTTTTTTATATTCCAGTTCACAGAGAGCTCTCATCATATCACTAATTTGGAGGCCTCAACATCATGCAAACAAACTGTAATTAGTCTATTAGGAGGTGTCACATAGACAATTAGCTGCATTATTGAAAGGATCAGTATAGTATCAGGAAAACAAACCGGTTTTCCTGACGCTATAGTGCCCTAAGGGTGCCCCCATCCTTGGGGTCACCCTCCCTTGGCGCTGAAGGGGTTAAAACCCCTTCAGCAGCTTACCTTAATCCAGCACCAGGGTCCCTTGGCACTGGTGACCTCTCCTCCCCCGCCGTCAGCTCCCGAGTACACAAACAGTCCATAGGAAAGCATTTCTCAATGCTTTCCTATGGACGTTCTGCACGATGGATGCGAATTTCACATCCAGCGTCGCAGATGCGCCTCTAGCGGCTGTCAAGAAGGCAGCCACTAGAGGTTAGATTAACCCTGCTATGTAAACAAATGTAAGGCCATAATTTTTATGCTGTGTAACCAACGCAGAAAGAGATCCAAGGAAATGAATGATGCAAGCGTGCAAGGTTAATACTGCAAAAGCCAGTTTTCCGGTTTTCAGATAACTTCATGACACACAGCTGAAGGGAGTGGGATGACGAATATTTGCTGCACAGTTTTGGTAGTGCACATCATTTTCTCCACTGACCCCACCCAAATGGTCTATAAACGGTCTCATTTTGTGGTTATAGGAAGCAAAGCATGAATGTGGTAGGACTCAATACCCAGAATGCACTTCCCACCACTAATTACACTGCAGAGAATAGGAGATTATTCTAGGCTTGGAGAAAATAGATTCTAAATTTTATTAGACAGGGGGAGAATATATGCTTAAACCTTCTTTACTGATTTACTGACACCTCCAGCAGTAAAGAAACAGTTAACACAACCAATAAAAAGCGACCAGTCAGCTCAAAGTTAGGCATATAAAAAACTCAAGACCCAGCAGACCCCTTCCCCTGCTTGCTTTTTCTTTTTGGGGGGCGGGGGTACATTCAAGAAAAGCAGAATTGTATGAATCAAACAGCAAAACAGGAACCATTGGTAATCAGGACAATCCAGACTAAGTTTAAATACAACAGACAAAAAAAAATATAAATTGTAAAATACAGGATGTTATACACAACCATCATGTCATCCTAGTCAGTCAATTTAAATATGCACACATAGGCAGTAGATTAATTCACCAAACGCGCCAACATCCCAAATAGTAAAACCATATATATATGAACCACAAAAAAAAATAAAAAGGGGAATTAAAAAAATTAAATGTGTGTGTGGGGGGGTAGAGTTCTGGTACGCCTTCGTCATTGGCCGCACGCTCCTTAGGATTTCCCCATTAGAAATCATTATATAATGCTTTCCAATGGGGTTTTGGGTGATTCTAGACGTCCCAATGCATAGCGTGAGGAAGTCAAGCATCATAGCGGAGGTCATCTAGTGGCCTCCCAAGCTAAATGTTGCAGTTTATTAAAAACAGTTATTAGTTTTGCAGGGTTAAAGAACCTGAGACAGTGCACCCAGACCACTTCAGTGAGCTAAAGTGGTCTGGGTGACTACAGTGCCACTCTAATAAAGTTTAGAGAATGGAAGCTTCATGTTTGCATTTTTAAATGCTCAGACACAAATGCATGTGTATGAGGACAGACATAAAGTGTCAGAAAAGTCGATTCCCGTGCACAATCATTCAGCGACCTACCAGTTTTACGACATCTCGCACTTACGACCAGGCTGCCGCGGGGATTCCCTGCTCTGGTGTGCACGTCTATGTTGGGGAAACTTCCCCGAACATAGATGAACACACGAGAGAAGGGAATCCCTCTAATCCAGTGGTTCCCAAACTTTTTAGGTTCAATGCGCCCTTAATATTTCAGTGTTTTTCCACGGCACCCCAAGTAAAAATTTCTAGGTTGTACATCTGTACAGCGCTGCAGCATTTACTGGCGCTATAGTGTAATGTGCAGTGTTGGTGTTTGAAGGGGTGCTTATATACATTTATTGAGGTTTAATACAGCACAATGTGGATGTACATTTGTGTGAGGTATTTGTTTTTGAGTGAAGGGAGATTAATGAAGTGGTCTGGGTGCCAGGTCCAGCTAGGGTTAACCCTTTATAATATGGTTAATCCAGCCTCTAGAGCATGGGTTGTCAACCTGGTCCCTACCGCCCACTAGTGGGCATTTTGGGATTTCAGGTGGGCGGCAGCAGAATCCTCCTTCCATCCAGAAAGATGAACGCTCTGTTCCTCTCTCGCGCAGTAAGTGCGTGGTTGCAGAACGCTCGCGCAGGGGAAGCGCGAGCGTGTGTGCCTGAATGTGCACATGCGCTCGTGAACAAGTGTAACACGTTGGTAGAGGAAGGGGAGGAGTTGGAGTAGGTAGGGGGATACACGATAGCAGGGAATGGAGCACTTGGAAAAATCAGAGAAAGAAGAAGCAGAGTACTTGTAGAATAGGAGAAACAAGAAACAGAGTACTTGTAGAATAGGAGAAACAAGAAGCAGAGTACTTGTAGAATAGGAGAAAGAAGGAGCAGCGTACTTGTAAAAAGGAGAAAGAAGGAGCAGCATACTTGTAAAAAGGAGAAAGAAGGAGCAGCGTACTTGTAAAAAGGAGAAAGAAGGAGCAGCGTACTTGTAAAAAGGAGAAAGAAGGAGCAGCGTACTTGTAAAAAGGAGAAAGAAGGAACAGAGTACTTGTAGAATAGGAGAAAGAAGGAACAAAGTACTTTCTCCTATTCTACAAGTACTCTGCTCCTTCTTTCTCCTACTTTTAGGACTTGTAGAATAGGAGAAAGAAGGAGCATAGTACTTGTAAAAATGAGAAAGAAGGAGCATAGTACTTGTAGAATAGGAGAATGAAGGTAAACTAGGGTGGCAGGAGATTAAAAAAAAAAAAAAATAAAAAAAATCACGTGTGTATCTCTCTCCCTCGTCAGTCAAACACCAGCACCACATACAAGCACACCCCTGCAATCTAACACAAATTGCATACAAGCACGCCCCTGCAAAAAAAAAAAAAAAAATATATAAATATTTTTTTTTTTGCAGGGGTGTGCTTGTATGCATTAAAACCCCTTCGGCCACATACCTTTATCCAGTGCCAGGGTCCCTCAGCGCTGGTGATCCCCCTCCCCCTCCAACGGTCCCAAGTGAAGCCGAATGCACATGCGCGGCCAGAGCAGCGCACGCATTAAAAATGCCCATAGGAAAGCATTTTTTCAATGCTTTCCTATGGACGTCCTGCGTGCTCAATGCGATTTTCCCATTGAGCGCCGAGGAAGCACCTCCAGCGGCTGTCAGGAAGACAGCCACTAGAGACTGGATTAACCCTGCAATGTAAACATAGCTGTTTCTCTGCTATGTTTACATCTGAAGGGTTAAAACCTGGGGGACCTGGCACCCAGACCCCTTCATTGAGCTGAAGTGGCCTGGGTGACTATAGTGGTCCTTTAACAAGCAGCAGTTTAGAGCCAAGTGTGCGCATGATAGAGAGCGACTGCACATACTGCAAGAAGGACAGGAAGCGTGCAGTGAGTGCCGCAATCTCAAGCAGACCGAAGCAGAAACTAAATACGGAAGAAAAACCAGCAGACCTGAAAGAATAAATGCAACACACCAACTAGCAAAAGAACAGTCCGAGCATTGAATACACTAAACTGGAGGAAGCAGCAAAGAAAATCTTGATCTCATGATGATTGGTTGCTTATTACTGGTTATGTTAACCGTTTCTTTGCTGCCGGAGGTGTCTGTAAAGGTTCAAGTAAATATGAAGCCTCCTGTTTTACAGTAAAATTTACAACTAATGGTTGTATCCACTAAACTGGGAAAAATAAAATATTTGAAAATCTCTCCAGCTTAGTTATTTTGTTCTATTATTTGCAATTCATCTATTTCACTCTAAATGTTCTAGACTTGTCCCCTAGGCATACAAGTTTTTAGTTGCAATTCTTAAACCCATTGCTGCATTCTTAGGCCATGTGTGTTTACAAATCTTATCTCCCCTGCAATAGCTGGTACTATTTTATCTAGAGCTGAACAGTGCAAGTTACCATGTCATAGAGGGTCATTTCAAAAACATTGAAAACATCTCACAAGCATAAGGTTTACACAAACACACGGGCAACTGAACTGCAGTTTCTAATTACACTTAGGCAGCCAAAGTGGTATACGCATGCCCTTTATTGGGAGCATTACAACAGAACAAAGATGCCCACAATCCATTATTACTGAAGCTGGGCAAAGATGATTTCAGCTCAATAGGTGGTAAATAATGAAGAAAGATAAAAATTTACAAATAAGCAATTCTATTTAAAGGAAGACTATAGGGTCAGGAATACAGACGTGTATTGCTGACCATATAGTGTTAAAACCCAATTTATTGTAAAAACAAATAAAATCTATGGAGTGTTTTTAGCAATTGACACTGAGCAAAAATAACTTTAGCTTAAAGGGACACTGCAGGCACCCAGACCACTTCAGTCAATTGAAGTGGTTTGGGTGCTGTGACCCTATTGCACTTAGTGCTGCAATGTAAAACAATGCAGTTCAAGAGAGAAACTGCAATGTTTACATTGCAGCTCTAAGTCTGCCTTCAGTGGCTGTCTACCAAACAGCCACTGGGGCGCTTCCGAAATCCAAACAGACACTTGGTCCGTTAGCGGATGCTGGACGTCCTCACGCTCTGCATGAGGACCTCCAGCGTCAGATTTTCACCATAAAAGAAAGCATTGAATAATACTTTCCTATAGGGTGGTTTAATGTGCGAGCGGCCATTGCTGCGCATGCACATTAGGTCTCCCCCATCGGATGATAGCAGGAGAGGAGCGTGGGGGCGGAGCCTGATACAGTGCCGAGGGTCATCGGCGATGGATTCAGGTAAGGCTGAAGGGCTTTTAACCCTTCAGGGAGAGCGTGAGGGACTTCTAAACCAATTGTGCCAGAAAAAAAAAAACATCTTTCAAAGTGTCCATAGGAAAGCATTTCTCGACGATCCGCAAAATGTGCCTCCAGCATCGCAGATGCGCATCTAGTGGCTGTCCGGAAGACAGCCACTAGAGGCTGGGATTAACCCCAAATGTAAACATACTGCTATGTTTGCATCTGAAGGGTTAAAACCTGAGGGACCTGGCACCCAGACTACTTCATTGAGCTGAAGTAGTCTGGGTGACTATAGTGCCCCTTTAATGAAGCAGTTTTGGTCTATGGATCATGCCCCTGCAGTATCACTGATCAATTCAGTACCATTTGGGAGTTAAATCACTTTATTTATTCAGCTTTAAGTATGCCCCTGATACATCAAGTCAGAATTAAGACAGATGTCACTATCATTTCCATTCAACCACTTGGGAATTCAGTAACATTCTCAAAGGAACAGCAAGATCAACACAAATTATAATGGAAAAAGGCAACTGCAGTTGCATAATTTCATACAAAGTGGGTACTTGAATAAACCTATATACATTCCAACCATAAAGGTGCTTGCAAAGCATTTGGCTAATGTACAGGCTTTAGCCACAAGCCCAGGCACATGGAACCCCTCAAAGTCAAACCAAGCAATGAGGAAGTGAACTCAGATAAGCAAAAACAAAAAGAAAGAAATACAGCAGATATCATTCAGGCAGACTAACCCACTAAATTCATTTGCACATGTTCCTGTGATCACTAACTGCAATACCAGCTTTTATAGAACTCTTCTAATGACTAATCTTCACGTGCATAAAGCCACCATCTAACCTTTTTTATAGACTAGAGCACATGTCTATTTAATAAAGGCACCATACCATAACGGACTTCAAAATTCCACAATGCAATGTAAGTATCCACAGAAAGAAAGGTATTTACTATTTAACATATAGTTATATATGCTGTCCTACTGCACCCCGCAACAGCTGGACTACAAATCCCTCCCATAATAATCTAATGGCGCTATATAAATAAAATAGTTACAAAAATAATTCTACCAGCCACAGGATTTAAACACAAAGCGTAGGAAGTGAACTTACAATGACTACATACCTCTGAGAGTTACCCTGTATGGCCAAAAAGCAACTGAAAGTTGCATCAATCCAACAAAATGGCAGATAATCAGCTACTCAAAAGCATAAAAAACAAGAAAGCACAAGCAGCCTAGATAGCAAGATAAGAAGCATGAAGGCCTACAGGCAGGAAGGGTAATTATTAGCTTATTGTGAAATAATCCTTTGTAAATGAAGTCGTGTCCTGGAGCCAAACATTTGAAGCTTGTCACAACTATGCAATGCACACAGACATACAGAAGGTGTGCCATATAACAAGCCAGGAGCTGCCATATGGCACACTATGTAATCCAGAAGCAGGGTTCTTTTCTGTACAGAATTTGTAGCTTCCTTTTAGTGCTCCTTTTCCAACAATGTTTCCAATACACTCGGCATCAGGTTTTCAGTGCTTTCATGTTATTTATCTTTAATGGGACACTAAACACCAAAACCACTACAGTCTGCAGTCTCTGGACAGTAAACACGGACTTTTCTGAGTAAAGACACTGTTTTCAGTGTTCCCTAAGGCCACCTCTAATGAGTTTCACTCAGCATGAAGACATCGAACACTCCCCATAGAGGTGCATTAAGCTAATGCATCTCTGTGAAAAGATGTTCACTGGCACAGCATGATCTCCAAAGGAGAGCACTGGATTAGCTGAGATCTTTGTACTGATCTCAGTCATGGGTGGAGCAATAGCGGTGTCGGTTTACGGTACGTAAAACTTCTATATTTAACCCCTTAAGGACCAAACTTCTGGAATAAAAGGGAATCATGACATGTCACACATGGCATGTGTCCTTAAGGGGTTAACTTAATTGATGTGTGTGTGTGGGGGGCTGTGCATGTCTGTACTTTAATGAGTGCTCATTTAAGAAAAGAAAAAAAATGTTGAGAATGCATGTTTTTTTTCTTATTAATATTACTATTTTGTTTACTTTTTTTAAAGAAATGCCAGTATGAGTCACTGCTACCCCAGTAGGCTCTGTGGGCACATAATCCTTTCTACTACTGCCTCCCTCCGATGGGCACAAAGCTATTTCTACCCCATCTCCCCACAATGGGTACAGTTACGCTCTACCCCCCAGTGGGCACACAGTTTCCACTCCCCAGTGCGGGCGTCACACAAAGTTATTTCCCTTGTGCAAGCACAAAGCTATTTCTACCCCCAGTGGGCACAGTGCTATTTCTACCCCCCACACCCAGTGGCACAGTGCTATTTCTACCCCCCACACCCAGTGGGCACAGTTATTTCTACTCCCCCCCCACACCCAGTGGGCACAGTTATTTCTACTCCCCCCCACACCCAGTGGGCACAGTTATTTCTACTCCCCCCCACACCCAGTGGGCACAGTTATTTCTACTCCCCACTACACCCAGTGGGCACAGTTATTTCTACTCCCCACTACACCCAGTGGGCACAGTTATTTCTACTCCCCACCACACCCAGTGGGCACAGTTATTTCCACTCCCCACCCAGTGGGCACAGTTATTTCCACTCCCC